CTGCACCTCTTAAGATAAAGTAAAGCTATCCACTTATCGACATAGACCGCAGTGTTGTGGTAGACCAATGAAATTCTGAGCTCTGGCCCACGGAAGTTATAGAGGTTGATCCTAGCTTTGCAAGTTCATCTACCTTTTTGTTTAGCTCAATACCGATGTGTCCTTTAATCTACAATGATTACTATGATCACATTCCATGAGTATCGTGAAATACAAGAAAAACGACACCTTATAAACAAAATGTTTTATGTAAGAAGCTGTGATTTTCTTTTAATACAAATTTCGCTGGCATTTCTGTTGAACTGATGAGCATGTCATATTGGAAATTTAAATATGTTTCTGAATATATTTGCTTTCTATTCTAAACTTAAAATAAAAACTACTTGAGAATATTATAGTAATTCTTGATAAACTTATTTGCATGAGTTCATCCAACTCCCTTCGTACTTTCAAGAAGCTTGTTTTTTACAATACAATTCTCTCGATGTACTTTTATTTCTGGAAAATCAACTTTTCCGTTTGTAAAGAATTTGTTCCCCAATAATTAATCTTAATATTGATAGTTGTCCAATTCAGTTCATCGAAAGGATCTTTACCACTCACATAAGGTATGGAGTTCAGAATGTAATTTTCGGGTTATTGAACTCAAAAATTCCTTTCTCAGACATAATCAGCTCAACAGCAAAATTAAAATTTTCTGCTACATGGAACTTAGTCGTGACTGGCTTTCATATACCTTCCCTATTTCTGTCATTAATTCTGACCAAATAAAAAAAAATTCGTATAGTTAAGTATTTATAAGCTAAATAGTAACGACAACTACTTTTTAAACAGTAACTTCAAAGCCAAAGTTCGGATTACTCACATGGGAAATTAAGTATTGTCCCGCACTTATCATATCTGTTTTCATAACCTATTTCCTAATGTTCTCCTACCTATCCCTTCACCATATGACTTAGTGCCCATCATTGAGTATAAACCTCCCCATTCATCAATGTGATATATTCAGTTCCTCCCATCATCTCTCTCTAAAATCGCAGAATTTGTGTTTCCCGTCATAGAGTCTATTAGACAAACTGCTTAAGAACCATAACCGCACTTTAATCATTTTACTTGCCATCTAGTTCAATTATTGTAATCGTATTCTGATTTAGATTAACTTAATTTTCTAAGTAATAGGACCTAGAGTCTTAATGGAGACACATGTTGCGTCAGGCCGAAGTCCGGTAACGGCTTGTTATGGTCAAATAAGTAAGTGAGGTCTATTTATATTCTGACGTACCACTTACTATTAAAATGAGATTCTCAACATCATAACCTTCACGCTTAATTGTTGGAATACTCGTTATTCATCATAATCGGTTATTTTAGTCGGTTAAGTTCTCCTACTCATGGGCTTTGATTTACTACTTTTTCGAACTTAAAAATTGTGTTTCATGACTGAATTAACCAATGTTTGCTTCTAAACACGGTTGCCACTTATGGTACTTTAGTACCAAAATTGGTACTTTTTTTTCCGTTTGGTACTCTGGTACTCATGTTCAAAAAATGGTACATTTTCGGCGACCCAACTTTATTGTGGATATTGTATTGTTTTATACTTTTTGTACATTTTATATAAATTGTATTTTCTTATAAAAAGACAATAGAAAAATTTTGGACCTTTTTTTACAGAAATGGTACCTTTTTAAACCAATTTTGGTACAGAAAAAAATTTTCAAGTGGCAACCGTGCTTTCTAAAGCTGAAATCATTAATTTATTCTTAGGCTCATAACACAAATAAGTAAAATCTAAATTCAACACGTTTTATTTGATTTAAATATTAGTATGGGTTTATTTCACCCGCAAACAAATTCTTCTTTCCAGAATTTTGATTATTAAAATAGCTCATAATGAATGACACTTTAAGATTTCTGCAAAATGAGTTTAGAAAAATACTTAAAAATCGAATGTAATACTTTTATTTTAACTAAAATATTTGTAACATTTTCTATTAACGGAAATTACAATACATTCAATTACTTGTTTTATATATAGAACACAATTTTAAAACTAAATAAGAATTATAATTCAAAAGACGTGATATTTTAATATTAATAGTATAGTGCATAGAATTATTTAGGAAGTATGGAATTTCAAAACAAAAAAACAACAATAAACACAGTTTGAGTCAAGTGTTTTTATATACGATATTTATGTCATAGCATCAATGCGGAATTGTTGTTAAGAAGCTATAATGTGGGATTTTGACAAGTTGACGGCATAGTTGGTTCTATAGATGTTCTTTTACACATAAATTTTAAGGTTATTTACTTTATTATTTTACTTATTTTAAAATAAAAATTTATTTAAATATTATTTGAATGTAATAACACTGAAGTTAATAATAACATCGAAATTTCTGTTAATAAAATATATTACATAAGTTAACAACTGTGATTTTTTTTATTTAATCCTAAATTTGTTTAACGGTTTTTAATTGTTATACATCTCTAAATTAAATGTCGACGCAGCACAATATTTCTCTAATCTATGTTTCCGGTCATAGAGTTATCTTCGGCAATTGCAGAGCAGACGATCTAGGTAGAAAGTATCTGGCATATCGTTAACATCATGTAAACTATTACTATGTTCTTTCTGTACTGAAATTTTAAATAAAATATGGGAAGATTCAACGATATGCAGGCTTCTGTATGAAATCTGGTCATTTTCTGATAAAAGGAAATTCAAAATTCTCATTGAGATGCCTCGCAGAGGTATCAGTACTTTTAGGTAGATTTACTTACATGTCCCTGTAAACTAGGGAACCATTCTAGAATATGAAATCTCCCTTTCAATCAAACCTGTTGCAGCTATAGGGGAAACGATGAGAATGCGTCTCATCTACTATGTGTTTGCTCAGCTCATGCACGGCGGCGATTTAACACTTCAAGAGCCCCTTTTCTTGAGGATCTTGATCTTGAGCATTATAGGCTTCGCCAAAGATTCTAGGTAGTTTTAAGTCCTTAGTTATTCCTATGTACACGGTAACACAATAGACCAATAGACCTTAGTGGATGCCTTACGGCGCCGGTATGATCTAACCTATCTAACCTAAGTATGTTATTATATAAAAATATAATTTTAAACATACGATCTAAAGTTCGGAAAAATTCCAATACGGTATAAATTTAAAAGTTTATATAATAAATTTAATTTAATGATATAATAATTTATTTGGAATAATTTTAATAAATATATGTGCTATATAAAAAACTTAAATGTGGATTTTAGAAAAGAAACACAACGTTAGACCTATTTTGCCTATTTTACCAAAACCCAACTCACTGTTTTTTCCGTATCTTATTGTTCCTTAACGCACGTCATCAATCTCTGGTATTGTCACCTATCCATTATAAATATTATTGCCAACTATCTCACATAAATATTGTACCCACATATTTTATGGAGTTCATACTTCACATATGGCTGTAGTACCTATTAGAAGAAACAGAAAAAGACTTTTCTTTTCGTGTCCTGCTACTCTGGAACAATTTCTAGAGTGTTATAAATTCTTATATGTTACACCTATATTTAGTTCGAGATTTACCAATGGAAAATAAAAATTGCTCTAGAAGTGAATCTTAATTGAAAAAGTTACCCCAGATTTACCAATCTAAAACGGCATTAGTGTTTTAGAATTTTATTTGTTTATACTTTAAATATTGTATTTTATGTACTTTAAAGTTCTTCTTTACATCCTTGCAATATTAAAATTGATTTTAAAATTTCTTCCTCTATTCATTGATATAACTTCTTGCAATTAAATTACAAACAATTGAAATCATATAATTTGCAAAGCAATTTAAAATACATTAATTGATAATTAATTTTAATGAGAACATATACGAAATCACATCACCAGTTAACTCTTTGATATATTGTTAAAATATTTAATTTTAATTAAATCAGTGAATTATCGAATATCAGAAATATACGCAATTAACACTTGAGAGCAGACATTTTTTGTGTAAAACAGAAAAAGCATTCCCTTATGATTAAGAGACCATTATTTTTTATTTTATTTTTTCTTTTTATTTAGCATGTAAATGAAAATTGATATATATGAACGCCTTTATGCTTGTGAAAATTAAATATAGTCCTATTAAGCCTTGTCATATCATTTAACCCCACAAGGAAAAGTTGACACCTACACAAAGTAACTGAAAGTATAAATCAAACTAAATTATAAAATGCACAGCACACAGAACACAGCACATCCCAGCACATCCCAGTGCAGAAGAACATAGCATATCAGTCAAACATATACCCAGACGACATGATTCGATTTAACTTTGATTTACACGTGTATTTCATAATTAAGCTAATGAATTCTTTAAAAATAAATGACACGCAAATTATACCAGTTCGCTGGTTCTCTAGTGGCAAGAATACTGGCGGTGGCAATACTGAACCCAATACCAACGCCAACTCTTACAGCAGCACTAGCAGCGACACAAGCGACAAAATGAGCTGACAGCATAGAGATGAGTGAACATTTAATTTCCGTTTCCGAGGCACTAATATGCGTTGAAGTCAATCGGAAAGGAATGAAACATTGTGATGCTGTTATTTTGGTGGCACTAATGATGTCACTGTTGCCGTTGCTGATAGTGATGATGACATGTTTGACCGGTAGCGCTGATATATTGGACATATTTTCACTACATGAGTAATGCACCGTCATTGGCTTTGATATTAAATGACAAATGATCGAATTACTTCAAACAAAATTATATATTAAATAAAATAAAGAAGTGAGAAACCAGTGAAATATGAAACAAGGCTTCGTCAACCGTCACCAAACATAACGGATGATTCGATATTTTTTTTTTTTATTAATACAAGAAATAAAATAACTGGACAGAAAATAATTAACAACATTTTTTGAATATATTAAATCCGTGATGAAGCGAGAGAAATAAAAAAGTTTTATCCTGTCTCTATTTAAAAATGCTTAATATTAAAATATATTTTGGAACAAAGAAAAGTCACCAATTGTGTAGATTCCTGAGTATTGCCAAGAGTAGTGTTGCTGACGAAATCAAAAATCTCTTTTATATGTTTTTCAAACTTTATTGGATGATATAGTAGTTATTACTCCACTTATATATGAGTTATGAGTCATTTCGTAGATCTGCACAGACGACTTTAAAACTAACAAAGTTGGTGCAGAAATTTTAGCCAGAATCTCATTCGGTGTTGGTAGGTTATCTGACAGGTGACTTTCGTTACCATTTCAACAATTAGAAGTTGTTTGAGGAATACGAATGTTTGTTCTACATAGCAGCAGATAATACCTCTAGTTACAGTTTTTGTGACTGTTTGTCTCTGATCTTGACTAAAAGAATAATGCTTAACCAAAAGCTTATAACCATGTTCCCACTTAATAATAGTCTTCATTCGAGAGCTGTGTATATTCTCTTCAGTAAGGATATAGTTTTTAGTACTAAAGATGTACCCTACTCTATAAACTTTTATTCTTTTCTATTCTGATAGTAATTTTGAAAATATATGAATAATTTTTAACAGGGATTTAGAAATTCATTAAAAGTTAACTATTCAAAATTTGATTTTTTTGTCGAATACTGAGGTACAGGATTAGTACGTATGCGGTGCTAAGGTATACGGATGTCGGTTTGTATACCACCAATAATATTTTTAAAGGTGACGAAATCAAAGAATAGTATAAATTTTAAAACGAATTATATTAAAAATTATTATTATTAGAAGGAACAACGAAACATTGTAACCTCTTAATTCATATATTCCATTCTTAGAAAAAGTATCGAATACTAAATTCCATAAAGTAATATTGATAATAAACTTAACAATCTCGTCCGGTTCCATATCTCAGACCTTTATTTGGTTTGATGAAAGTCGAATAAAAGCACTAGATGCTGTTCTTTGTAATCACAGTACAAGAGCAGATAAGATAGGCTAAAATTTCATTCTTCTAGATATCGTTGTTACATTGGTTCGCAGTTAAAGTAATAAAAGTAAAGTAATAAAATGAGGGCAGCTCATCTTAGCGATTCTATGGACATCTGCCAGTGGGCACCGGGTCATACAACCATAGAGACCATTAAAATAGACACATATCTCTACGTGCTGCAGACAGCAAATAAAAAATCAGTTGTGGAAATCATTCACAACATGTACAATATTTCTGTCTACCTGAACTTTATACAACCTAGTTAGTTCGAACCTAGAACCTAGTTAGTTCGGGAATTTTTTACAGAGACTATGTCCGTACTGCCAGATTAATTGCAGTTGTTTCAGATCAGTGGTGTGAAGGAATCCATTCAAAAAAACTTCGTCTTTAATATTTATTATAGAAGTAGCAAAAATAATGACGAGAAAAGATTCTACATACTTTCTCCGTGGATGCTCAACTTCTTCTAATAGAAGAGAGATCTTCACGAAAATATATTTTTGATGTTCTGTCAGTCTGTTAATCAAAAAAAAAACAACTCAAAGGGGTGACATTTCTTATACCCATTTAAGAAACCGATGATTAATCTGCATTCAGATTTATTTTAATTAAGAAACCTGTTACATTTTAATTGACTCGGATAAGCTGTTTTGATGGCCTGAAAGATTTGGATTCTAACCAAGTTATACTTTAGATTTCTTGATACTGATACGTTTTAAAAATCAATGGATATTCCACCAACAAAGTTTGGGTATTATGAAGAGAGTTAGTGCACTTTCCTCTACAAATTTAGCTGTTCCCATCGTATCTAGATGAGTGATGCTTTAATAAATCTTAACTCAGATGAGTTTTTTTTCACTCCTAACCAACTTGGACTTGATGGTCAAGCATTATAACTGCTACGTTAGCCAAATATATAGTAATGCCGAGGTTTTGGTATCGCTATTTTAAACATATTATAGCATAGGTTCCTAAGGCAAACTTTCTTGCCAAAAACTTTGTTGAAGGTATTCCTATTGGAACAACTATAGTTAGTCTGAGTTCATTAGTACCTTCTCCGTATTCAAAATCTGGTCTATCACTTGATAGTCAACAGTAATGCCGACGTTTTGGTATCGACGTTTTAAACATATTTTAGAACAGGTTCCAATGGCATACATTCTTGCCAGAAACATTGTTGAAGGTATTCCTATTGGAACAGCTATAGCTAGTCTGAGCTAGTCTTAGTACCTTCTCCGTATTCAAGTTCTGGCCTATCACTGAATCAGTTAAGATAGTCAACACACTGTATGAAAAGAATATAGATTTCAGATATTATTTTTTTTATATTTTTTTATTTTATTTATTTTAGGATCGAATATTAAATTTTCATTTCAATACATCATTTTATTGAAACGTATATATTTAATTACAATTCACAATTTTTTATCTTAAATATATGACATTGCAGAAATATAAGGGAAACAATTATATTTTTAAATTTCAAGTTTGTTCGTTTGTGTTGGACACGTTTTATCACTATAACTAATTAGCTAAATTGTTGCTTGTTTTTAAATTATTTATATTAAATAACTTAGTTTTTTTTTCTTCTAAAACACTGTAGTTTTATTATAAGCTAACATATAGATTATTGATTTTGTTTAGAAAAAAAATGAACGTAAAGGCAATTCCAGTTTAAATATTTATAAAAATATATATGCTTTCAAATAAGAATTTGATTAAATTAATAACAAATTTTTCTTCATCTTACTTGAAGTTTTTTCTATGTTTATATATTTAATAGAAATATTCATTTAAAAAATAAAAGTTGTAAATACTGTATTTAATACCAATTAAGAATATTATGCTGCATGCAGATTTGTTTAACAAATACATCGTATATACGTATATATTATTATATACGGGTTTATTAAAAAACCATTTAATATAAAGTTGTTAAAAAAATATTTATATGAATTTATAACTTCTTTAGTAAAAATATTGTTTCTAAGTTTTAATTAAATTAAGTTCCGTTTAAAAATTAATTTAATTTAATATAAAAATTTTGATGATTTTAATCAAAATTAATTATTAATAACAGTAATCAAAAATTGAATTGTTTAAATAATAATATTAAGTTATTGCTTTCAATATATATAAACATAAAGTTTAGAGAGCAATAAATAAATGTGGCTTGTTCCTTTGACACAAGTAGTAATAATGTTACTCTGTTCTGACATTTCCATTTAAATTTTTAATATTATTTTACAGACTTCTTAAGTACAATCATGGTGGAAAGGTTTAATTATACTAATAGGAATCCAAATAAATTTAATTTAATATTATTTTGTATTTTTATATTGTTTTAAGTAAAATAGTTTAAAAAATAGTTTTCTTCAATAGGTTAAATTTATATTTTACTATTTATTCATTGTTTAAATATCTAATTTAATGTATTATTTTCTATTAGCTATTCTTCAAAAACCTTTAAAGCTCAATATATTATCTATACTTTCTATAAATTTTATGTTTTCAAAAACCTCTTTCCAATACAACTCATCATTTTTCATTACAAACATTTTCTTTAAGGTACACTGAGCATTGATTATGTCTTTTCTTTTGATTTGATTTTTAAAAAATTTATATTAATTTTTGCATTAAATGCGTTTCAAAATTTGTCATGTTCGCTTATAATTTTTATAGTATATTTAATTACTTAATTTACTAAATAAATTTATTTAAGTTTTGTTTATGCAATATGGACTTAATATTGTAGAGTAAATATATCAAACTAATTTATATTTTATTTGTTTACAAAAAGATTGCAAGATTTGTCTTTTTTCTATTTTATTGTAAATCATAGTTACTTACTTGAACAATATTTTTTAAAACCATTTAAGTTTATTTTAAGTTTTTTTAATTATTGTTCCCAACCTGATAAGTACAATCACATCACAAGCAAAATTTGCTTAAAGCGCTGAGTTTGTTAAGTTTCATAAATTATTCGTTTTCGAATTTTGTTTCAAATTTAACAATATAAGTACAATAAATTAGTAAATATTTTTGTTTTTTTCTAATATCAACTATTTTTCTAATACTAAAAGTATGCAAATGTCTAATATCGCGTTCTCATATGTCTTCAACAAAAAGAATCGCTGAAACATAACATGCAATTTTGTTACTAACACTTTTTTCTACATTCGCTATAATATTTTAGCTAAAAATAATAATAATATTTATAATACTTTCTTTGAAGAAGTTCAGGAGTTAAACAGTGTGAACTTCTACATTGTTATTTATATTTGCTTTCGTTAAGACATTTAATATATTTTTAATTTTAGTTTGTTTAATTAATATTCTCGACGTATATACGAATAAATAGGTTCAATTTTCGCTTATGGTTTAAGCCGGTATTGTAGCTTCTTCATAAAAATCTGGTTCGTCTTGTTGTGATTTCTTCTCACTGCCATCCAACTAAAATGATTAAAAAATATTTTAATAATTTTTTTAAATTAAATTAATAATCACATATAAAACTTACCGCTTCCATTTCTTCCGGTTTATATAGAGCAGCTAGTCTTTGTCTAATTGGCACCATTAAAATCAAGAAGAAAGGAAAAGCCAATGATATTTTTGACGATTTTACTGCCCATAGTGTACTTAAGCAAATCACTTGAACAGTAGTGAATAAATGCATCTTCCATGTGGGCACACGTTTAACGTACGGCGTTGGTGGATAATGCTTCACAGGCACAAAGTAGAGTCTCACTCTGAAAGTGAATAAGAAAGATTAGATATAAACAAATATTATACAACAAATTAAATATTTTATTTAAATTGTACCTTTCAAAGAATTGTACGCCACTCATTGAAGCTATACCCATATAAAGAAATACACCGAATAGTACTGCCATTGGTATGAGTCGTAATAGTGGTGCCATTGTTACGGATAACCCAATCATTAAAGCCACAAAGAAACCGGATAAACGTTGTTCTTTCACATCAATAATACGTGCAGATTCACCAGGAGCATGAGTTCTGTAAAATAAGAGAAATAATAGTGTTATTAAACTAAAAAAAAAATTAGTGCGGATAATAATAATAATAACAAAATAAACGAGATACTGGCTCCAATTGAAGGAGATGTTAATCATTAACTGAAGTAAACTAGGTATGAATAATGAGATTAAAAACAAAAATAAATGGAGTACTCCAGCACTGCAATTACAGCACTGCAACTGCAGCTGATTTCGGTACGGATAATACGGATAACATTGTTTTGTGCAAATTATTTCTTTAAAAATTCTGTAAATTATTTAATAATTTATTGTTTTAATGACCAAAGGTTAAATAAAATCTTTTAAAAACAAAAACATAACTTTAATAATAATTTAAGCGTAATTACTGAAATAAATAATATTTAATTATAATTATATGGCTTTATATTTATCATATTTATTATTTATTATGGACTTAATATAATTTTGAATTAATTTATAAAAGATAGTATTATTCAATCTAGATATTAGCTTGATGATTATCTGATTATGAAATTTTAACTTAATTTAAAAAACAGAATATATAGATATTTGAATATACATATATATTATATATATATACAATACAAAAAAGAAATATATGCATAATATTTGTATAATAATAGTTGTACTTAAAACATATTTTAAACATACCTTGACATGATGGTTAAAGCAGAAACGTGTGCTACTGAACGTACTGTAGCCGCACAATGCCAAGGCATTCCACAGAATCCGCAAAAAGTGTTTAAGCATGACAATAAGACAATATCAAAATGAAGTCCAGAGCCCTTCTTTAAGCCGCGATCTGGTTTATCCACAATAAGTTCGGAGATGTGTGATTCCATGAAAATTAAAATGTAAACCAATAAAGCTGGTATACCAGCTAAAAATGGTATCCAAGTGGGTACATTTCCCAGTTCCACTAGCCAACTTGTGCGTTCTGGATTACTTGGTGAAATACCTTCGGGAACACTAAGTTTTTCTGTATATACCTGTGGTATAAAATAATCCATAGCAACAAACAAAGCAATCGCAATAGGTACACCAAAGTCACCGAGCGCACGACGTGCATTACGTCCCAAGAAATGAGAATTACGGAATAGTTTTAAGTAGTAAGCAACAGTAAATGTACCCAAAGTGAGTATTGTGCAAAATAAAGCTGTATTGGGCATATTAGTAGGGATTTTTGGTGGTTGTACAGGTAAACTTGTGTTTGATATTGTTTGGGCTGTCATATTGCTAAAGTGCATTGTTCCATTGCCCAAGTCTGTTAGATGATCAAAGTCGGTATGAGCTAGTGTAGGTGGTGGTAAATTATAATCAGCCAATAAGGGATTATTTTTGTATACGGAAACTAATTTCATTATAGTTTCTATAATATAAATCAATGTTATCAGAGCGGAGAATATTTCCTGTGTGAAACGTGTTAGTAAGCGAACGTAGACACTGCCTTCAAAAGCCGATACAACCATTGCAATAATGGCCAACCATATACCTATGTATGCGCGTATTGTTAGAAAATTAAAACCGTTTTCTTGACAGAAATTCATTAAAGCTTCATCGAACAATAATAGAGGACCAGTTGTGCCAATAATTACAAGTGGTTGTCCAGCTATGGAGTGGAAGATGACACCGCAAACTGATGCAGCCAAAAGTGTTTCTGAGATGCCAATTGAATTATGCGTTTTGTCGGAAACTAAACCACCAAAAGTAATAGCAGTTGATAAGCAAGCGAAATACATGAATATTGTAGCTGCTAAGGTTTCGGTATTTAAACCATCGAGTATATCAGATTTATACATAGGCAAACGTCGTTTGAGATCATTACGTAGGCCACCCCAAAGGCGATGAGTCTTTTCAAGTGGGTTGGGTTTCTTCTTTTCACCATCATCACTAATTTTCTTTTCAATCAGAATTTTAGATTCTTCTTGCGCTTTCTCCTTAAGTTCTTGTTTAACCTAAAAATAAATATTTTACGTTATATATATGTATATATAGAAATTAAAATCTATTTCTTATTGTTTTTTACCTGCAGTGCTTTAGTTTTACGTGAACGAATCCAATCCTTTTTGGCTTTCAATTCTTCGAATGGCAACAGATCATGACGATCCCAATTACCCGGTGGCAACACAATTGAATCATCTAAAAATTCATTTATGGCAGACAATAAATCTTTACGATCATCAGCCTTGTATGCTATATGATGAAATGGTTCGTTAGCCATTAAAGTAGCAATTGAACGACCAACTTCATGATAATCTAAGTCAAATGTAACTGGCCCCAGTAATATAAACATGAAACGTACTGGTACTGGCACTTCAGTAATATTTGGCATGAGCACACCTTCGGCCAAACGCACAAACGCGATTGTGGGTTGTGTAAGAAAGTCTACAGGACCAACCTAGTGACGAAATATATATAAAATTAAAATATATTTTTTTATAAATGAAATAAATGTTACTTACCAGTACAGTGGTGGCCTCTGCACCTGCAGGTATTCTCTTTAATATTGTATCATTTTGCAATTTTTTTAAGTCCTCTTGCGATGATGTGTAGATATCATCCTTCATGTCAATCTTTAAGTCGTTGCTCCGTTTGCTGCCACCAATTTCCATTGCAGGCATAATTTTAATTTTTTTGTCATCGCCCGATAAGTTCTATTAAAAATTAAAATATCGTTATATATCTCTTTAGTTATAAAATACTTAGGTAAAATTTAAAATAAGGATTTGAGGGATGTTTTTTTCTAGCCAATTATTAGAAATAGCATGCAAATTTGCATATAAACGCTTTTGAATAATGCACAAATATTATTTTTATATGTAGTCTGTACTCCACAAAAGCGTTTCACAACTGCCAATACACATATTTAGGAATAATAACGCATAAAAAATAATTAATAATAAATTAAATAACAAACAAAATAATTATTTTTTTTTGAGAGCTTACTTTTTATATTGAAAACATTTTATATGCATAAAAGCATAACTAACCCATATAGGAAAAATTGGTTTACAATCTTTGATTCAATTTTAATCGTGTTAAGAAATACCTTAAACTGAATAAAATATTTAATTAA